CACTCCTCTCCCACTCTCCTCTCTGAGCTGGAGTGGATAGCGTCTGAACTCAGCTACTAAATGCTCTTTACCATTGGAGTGCATCTGTTTGGGGCTGTTTGTCACACAAAGCGAATATATTTAGAGAAATGCTAGGCAATCAACGCCAGCTGAGCGACTGCAGGCGGTGCACATAGCGGATCTGGGAAGAGTGAAGTTGGAGGGAGAGCTGCTGAGAGGAACAGGTGGAGCACTGGCATCAGTAACTTCAGTACTTCAGCATATTTACTTCCAAGAGGTAAGCACTGCCACGGTCTCATTCGGCTCTAATTATTTACTTCTTATGTAACAAACACAGAATCATTTGCTGGAAATCCAACAACTTCATGACTTATTTGTCAGGAAAAGTGCACGTTAGTCCAAAGATTCACCCAAAATGTGACTACGTTTAAAAATGTTAGCCTGAGTTTCCATAAAATTAAGTCCAGCAGTAAAACGTTTTATAAAAAAGCCTCTTTGTGTGTGAAGTTGACCCATAGTCACAATCTTATTAGTGGTTTGTTGGAACACTCAGAGTCTACGGGGTTCTGACCCTCTGGGCCTCCGAAGAAGATAATCAGGTTTAGGTGGATAACAGTCATCCTAGGTGACCTAGTGATCTGCGTCTGCGTAGCCTCACCCAAACATCTTCCCTCGACCCCAGGCCCAGGTGATTGCCCAGACGCTCGAATGCATTTATCGCTGGATACCATGAGCATGGTGGACGACAGCTGTCTCTCGCCCAGCAATTTCCACGAACTGGGTAAAGGTGGGGGCGTTGCAGTGGGAGGCCGCGTCCACAGCATCGATGTCATCCTGGGTTTCAGCAAAGAGCAGGACCCCTTGCTAAGTCCCGCCACGACCCCCGGACCCCACAAAGTGAACATAGACAGCCTGGCGGAGACCGGGAAGCAGCTGGAGCCCTCGTCGCACCCGTCCTACAGCGGGCACCTTTCCTCTCTGAGAAGCAGCAGCGGCACAGAGCAGCAGCAGTACCACGGTGAGTCCGGCTGTTGCTCTCCATCCTGGCAAAGCTGATTTTGTAAGAGTAGCACCACCTTTTAAGATGATTTTTTTTCATTAAATTTTGTGAACTCTTTGAGCAGTATGGATCAGCTGCTGCAGAGTTTGTTACTGAGGGTGAATCATCAAAGCCTCAAAGCATAGAGATGGTCAGAGATATTGATTATACAGCAGCAGCAGCACTGCTGGACTGAAGTGATCTTTGCTTTTTCTAACTTTAAGGATTTGAATGATGTAATGCAGAACATAGGTAGACTGAAGTTATTGATGCTGCTGGGCAAACATAATATGTTTTTATACTACCAGATAGCTGAACAGGATATTATCTGACCACAAACACAGTTCGAGCCTTTTATAGTCCAAACCTTGCTCAGGAACCAGAATAAACCAGTCAAGCTTCGTGACGTGACTGTTTTGTCGGCAGTTGTGGTAAAAAACAGGAAACAGATCAAATGACATAAATAACAAGTGAAGCAAACATTTTAAAACACAATTAGATAAAAACAGCCACTTAAAGGACATCACACAAACACCCAGGCCTTTATTTTGACCTGAGATTTAGAATCTGGTGTAAGAATCTACTAAAACCAAAATCTGATTTTCAACTCTCACACACACAAAATACACAAAATGAGTAACAAAAGCAGCTTCAAATCTGTGACATTCAGTTATAATTACAGCTCGTATTATTTCAACAGCCTATCGTCAAAAGTCTGATCACTTTAAATGAGGTTATTCCACCTTTGCATGAAAACCTCTCACGCACCGATTCGAAATCAGTGCATTAAACACCGTTGGCATGTAAAGCTGCATTAACTCCACCGTGTGGACTGAGATTGAGAGATAAATCACAGGACAAGATGGTGTAGGGGGTTTATGTCCCCAAGACCAATCCCATCCCCTTGTGGAATTCCCCTAATCTTCTCTTCTGTGCAGATTAGATTGTACCGTAGTCCAATCGCTCTTTATTGTTATCGTTCGCTCCTAGAATCAAATTGAATCATGTTTAATCTGAAGCTATTTTCACACACAGGATCAGGCAGGTGGTTGGTGATTTTGTGGCAGGAACAAGAGAAAAAGTTGTTCCTGTGAACCGGAGACGAAGCAGAAACACTGCTTTTAAGTGACTCAGATGCAGTTTGGTTTCAGTGCATTAACATCCATCAACACCAATGACATCACTCCATCCTGTGTGAAGTCAGCCCAGTTCCTCCTGACCGAGCAGCTTCTCTGTGTTCGGTGTCAGTCGGGCCACCCCCCTCTCCTCTCCGTGCTGAGATGTTCTGCTGGCTGATAAACAGTAGGGAGGCTTCAGACCAGTGGCTGTGATGGGCTGACAGGCCAAGAGCTGGTCACTGAACCAGGCCTGACCTCTGCCTTTGTCGGAGCCTGGTCTTTGTCATAGCTGCTTAATGAGAGGTGGATAAATGAACCCCAAAACCCTGCTTTGCTTTTGCCTCGGCTCCCGTTTCTCCAGCAGAAAGACCACAGTCGACCCCCTCCTTCATCTCCATCACCGCATCCCATTAACAGAAACAAGCTAGCATTCAGATTCGTACACAGTCTGCTGAAGCTCTGAAATGTCATTCAACATAAAAGTGTATTCCTGAACATGTTATGACCTGTAGCTTCAGTCCCTTATTTCACTTCCTGCCTTTAAACATGACTGTTTTGGTTTGGAGCTGCACTGATGAGCGATGAGGACTCGTACCAATATCAGCTTTTAGGAAGTCAAAAAAATTGGGACTATAAATCAATTCTTCACAAACACACGCAGCCGATAAGACTGCCTCACCTGTGATGCACTCTCTGCTGCTAACACAGCCGAGACTATTGTAAACCACACGGTCTGAGCTGGTCGTGCGATGACGGCGTTTTTAAATGACCCCGAGATTTGAAATGACCTTTTCCTGCTCTTTAAAGTCTTGAACTGTCGTTATTAAATCAGAGAAGAAGAAGTCTCATTGAGATCGGGGTCTAGCCCTCACATCTCTCAGCCTGAGAAACCTGAAAAATATCTGCAGTCAGAATACAGTTACATCTGTTACAGTTACATCTGATACAGTTACATCTGTTACAGTTACATTTGATACAGTTACATTTGTTACAATTACATTTGATACATTTACATCTGTTACAGTTACATTTGTTACAGTTACATCTGATACAGTTACATCTGTTACAGTTACATCTATTACAGTTACATTTGATACAGTTACATTTGTTACAGTTACATTTGATACATTTACATCTGTTACAGTTACATCTTTTACAGTTACATCTTTTACAGTTACATTTGTTACAGTTACATTTGTTACAGTTACATTTGATACAGTTACATCTGTTACAGTTACATTTGATACAGTTACATTTGTTACAATTACATTTGATACATTTACATCTGTTACAGTTACATTTGTTACAGTTACATCTGATACAGTTACATCTGTTACAGTTACATTTGATACAGTTACATTTGTTACAGTTACATTTGATACATTTACATCTGTTACAGTTACATCTTTTACAGTTACATCTTTTACAGTTACATTTGATACAGTTACATTTGTTACAGTTACATTTGTTACAGTTACATTTGATACAGTTACATCTGTTAGTTACATTTGATACAGTTACATTTGTTACAGTTAATCTGTTACAGTTACATCTGTTAAAGCAAAGAGCTGAATACTTCCTTAGAGGGCTGATAGAGACCAAAACAGAGCAAAAATATGGCGAATGTCAGCCATCACCTTTACACTTTTAGATTGATTGATTGATTGATTGATTGATTGGTAATTTATTTCAACATGTGAACAATATACAAGTACATTTAGAAAAGAAATGAGAGAAAAAAAATATATATACTATACAAATTACATACAAAAAAACATTCTGATTAATTTACATGTTGAAAGGGAGTGGGAAGAAGTATACACTTATTTAATCCCACCCCTGTCCCATAAATTATCAGTGAATATTTAGTCAGCTTCCTTACTGATATAATTTGTAATAAAAATAGTGAACAGATTTCTGATATACTATATACTATAATATCACATCATGAATTTTTTGTTTGTTTGTTTTTAAATAGAGACATTCACTTAATTTAAATATTTTCCTTTTCTTTATAGATCGAGAAGATCATATTTTTATAACTCTTTTTGAACAGTTTTATGTTTAGATAAACACCTGTGCTGCTCTGTAGAGTAACTGCTGAATATAACAGAAATGCTTTGAAAGCTCATAAAAAAACGAGATTTTTGCTCGTCTCACTATATGTTAGTTGGTGTAAGAGATACTGATGATACTGATGTTTCTATTGTTTACCTAAATACAAAATTAGCCCTTAATTAAAATCAGCTTAACCCACTGTCTGTGATTTGCAACTTATCTAACATCCTGAATGAAATTAAGTCTTCGAGTCAGATCCAAGCTTGGCACTTATTAACTCTTAACTCGAGTAGATTATTTTATTCCTGGATCATCATCTCTGTACTTTGTTTAGCTAAATCAGTTTGCTGGCTGGTCTGGTTACACCTCCCTGTTTTCCCCTGTGGCCTCTCCCATGTTTCTGTATACTGTTGATGAATATGCACGTTGATTCGATTAGAAATAGAGCTGAGGAAGAAGAATTGAGAGAGGAATCATTTGACGGGGAGGGTTATGAGGAGGAACAGTGGCAGTGAAAGCTTTGTAGTGTCTGTAAACACCAGCTTGTCAGTAATCTGTGATCCTAAAGACGGACAGAACTCAGGACGTTTCCGTGCTTTGGCTCTCCTGCACGGGGGAAATAGATTCTTTCAGATCTGCTGTGAGCTTAGCCAAAAATGGTAACAATCTAAGAGTGGCTGTTGAGCGTGGTGATAAAAACTGTGGTTTTCAAATTTCTTTTTAAAGACCTTTTAACTTTGAAGAAAAGTAAACACTGGAAAAAGCTTCCTAAATCCGATTAGGAATGTTTTGGAGCTTCATTGAGGTACAGGGAATTGCTTGCTTCACTGACCTACAGTGGCCTATTGTTGCAGGTGTCAAACTAATGTTTGCTCTACTGGAAAGTGGGAAACTGCATTCTCCATTTGTATTTCTCTCTAAACTGTAGTTCTCATTCACTTAGTCCAGTCAAAAAGCATGTGGAGGAAATAAAAACTCACAATATTTTTTCCTGGGCTCTTCCACAGACTCCGGCTTATTTGCAAACAAATGTGATCAGGAACTGAGCGAGCTGAGGAAGAGTATAGAGAGCGATGAAGGCAAGTCTCCGGACCCAAGCAAGGATGAGCAGCCCAAGAAGAAACACAGGCGCAACCGCACCACCTTCACCACCTACCAGCTGCACGAGCTGGAGCGTGCCTTTGAAAAGTCCCATTACCCAGACGTGTACAGCCGCGAGGAGCTCGCCATGAAGGTGAACCTCCCCGAAGTCAGAGTTCAGGTAACGTGAACTGCATTAAAGGCAACACCATTTCAGAGATTGCTAAGAAGCACTTCAAACGTTTCTGTCTTGTTTTTGGGGTTTTCTTAGAGATATTCTCATTATTCTGGAATAAAATCTCATATTCACACTACGTGAAAGGCTGTATTCATCCAAAAAACTCCCCCAGTGTTGTCGAGTATATTCGAGTATATTTCCCTACCCAGAATGAAAAACTCTGCACTCCATCATATTTACACGTACCTTATTTTTCTGTCATTTTCTTCCAGGTCTGGTTTCAGAACCGCAGAGCTAAATGGCGCCGGCAGGAAAAAATGGACGCCAGCACCATGAAGCTCCACGATTCACCCATGCTCTCTTTCAACCGTCCGGCACCGGTTCACACCAGCATGGGTCCAATGACCAACTCCCTCCCCTTGGAACCCTGGCTGACCTCTCCCCTGTCCAGTGCTACACCTGTGCACAGTATCCCAGGCTTCATGGGTCCAGCTCAAGGCCTCCAGCCCAGCTACCCAAGCCACCATTTCCTCAACTCCACCCCCCACGCTCCTCACGGTCCTCACGGTCCTCATCCACACCCTCACACTCACACTCATCCCCATCCGTCCATGGGTCAAGGGATGCAGAGCATGGCTCCTCCTCCTTATCAGTGTCCAGCACCATACCCTGAAAAGTACCCTTTGGAGGATGTGGACCAGCGCAGCTCCAGTATTGCTGCGCTGAGGATGAAAGCCAAGGAACACATCCAGTCTATGGACAAGACCTGGCAACCCATGTGACTAACGAGCTCGGCGGTCGACGTGAGCAATGCTGGAAGTGACACACGTCACGTGCTACGCCACTAAGTGAAAGAAGTGGATTCTGAACTGTGAAAGCTGAGGACGTAAGAATTTTTGTTTGGGGGGGAGACTTTCTTTTCTTTTCTACTTCTTCCCCCTTAAAAAACAGCTGAAACCTTCAGCGGGTTAAAAGTTTCCGATAGTTTTGCTCGTCCAATCTCTAGGTGTCTATTGTTGCCTTGGGTTCGTTAAAAACAAATGTCTTCTTGGTGAAACAAACGGTTTATGACACCTAGAAGTATTTCCGAGTCACAAACAGGCTCTGAGTGCACGTTTCATGCCTGAGCCCTTGCTGCAGCTCTTTGGGTGCACCAACAGTGAAGACACGCTATATCATTAAAAACTGCCAAAATGCGGGAATTCTTATTCATCACTTTTCATTTATCCAAATCATTTGAGTCGAGCAAAATATCATTCTCATGCTTTTCTTTTCTAATTTTTTTTTTTACACCACATTTGTGTTTTTACTAATTAGTCCAGCCGTCGAATTTTCATGGGTCTGCAAATCAGAGTCTTAGAGGACTTTGTGAATGGACCTTTGGTCTCTGTTTAATGTGACATCGAGGCATGAAGACACACTACAGTGTCACTGCTCATCTCACTAATCTGTTTAATTATAAAAGCCGTGTAGCTGGTTTTCGTTTTATGTCCACCTGTACTATGATTTATGTTTCTACTTGCTACGCAGTTTAGATACGCGAGTCCATGTTTTAGATATCTTGGTGTGACTGGAAGAAGATGATCAGTGAGGAGAAGCTTCTTTAAGAGATCTTCATCTGGTGGGAAAAGGGTCACCTCAACTGGGACCGGGAATATACCAAAAATATCTCTGCACGGATACATTTTTTCTGACTTGTGCTTTAAAGAAGGGAGGAAGCAGAAGAAAGGCAGAGGAAGTAGACAAAAAAACGCAGGCTAGTCAGCGGAGTAGCCCTCTTTTTGCTTGAGTGACTGTTGGAGGAGAAAACCTGTTGGCAGCTCAGTGTTGGGTGGCTGCGTGTACGTGCAGGGCAGCAGAAAGAGCCCTGTGTGATGCGTCACCCCACATAGTTCGGTCTTTGTTCGACACAATTGATCCAAGTGCATCCTCTTTGTCCCGAACAGAAGGGGGAGAAACGGTCTCAGGCTGCACTAAATAGGCCCTTGTAACCATTTTGTTGTAGTTTTTTTTTTTTCTTTTTCAAACAAGAGGAAACATGGATTGTTACTGCTTTGGTCATTAGTGACACAATATTAGTCTTATGCCATCTGTTACAGGGTTAAGCCCCAATCATCTTAAAGTTGGAGCACAATATGCTTCATATGGACAGTAGAGGTAAATAAATAAGACTGTGACACTGAAATGTTTTTGCATGTGCAGGTACCATCTCAAACAAATCTTTGGAGGTTGAAATTTATATATTTTTTGACTTTTTAACAGAACAAGAGGGATAGAAAACTCTGTCCTCGTAAAGTGCAATTTTGGAAACCCATTTTTTATGTTTCTATATAAAATGTGTTTTTTCTTTTGTTAAAAATAAAAAAGGAGACTCATTTCTGCCCAGATTGTTACAAAGTCACACCCCACTTTTTTTTGGATACTTTTGAAATTCACTCTTGTCCGACCTAAAGGGGATAAGTAATGTTACAGCCGCTGTTCATCATCTGTCTTCATGTAGTTTTACACGATGGTGACCTCACACAGCACAGGAAACCAGAATTATCTTATGTGTTAACAGGACATTTAGTTTGCAGCATAAATGTTTTGGGCCAAGAATAAGCCAAAGGTTAGATAACAGACAAGATTGCACTAGTTTTAGTTATTTTTATTGTCTTACATGCCCTAGTTATGTCTGTCTTAGTGATATCGTTGTTTTATTTCTTTTGGATTTTGTCTGGATTGTTGATGTTCATATTCTGGAACAAATGGAGATCTACTGAAAATAAATATAGTTTGATAGAAATTGTATCTCTGCGTTCTCACTGCAGTGCTTTCATGTTGACCTATGCACTCATTCCCACAGTCACTGTGGGGTTTTTAACCTCCCTAAGACTACTAGAGCAATCCAAGATTACTACAGTATAATCGTTGTCATCTGACATACATGAGCAGAGACTTTTTTTTTTGCTGCAAACACTTGTGCGCCTTGTCTCTCTGTCATGGTTTTCTTTCTTTTTACCCCTCTCAATCCTCTCTGCTTTTCCATGGGTTTGTGGCAGGATGCCAGCCTGTTAGGAAGATGAGACTCCAATCAATCAGGACTTCCCAGGGGGGCCTCTGACCACAGGGCTCGGCTCCCTAATTGCCCCCAGGCAGGCAGGCAGGCTGGCAGGCAGGCAGGCTGCAAGGTTCAGCCGCTGCAACACATGTTCACAGAGGGCCGGTGCCGCCGTGCTCGCTGGGCTCCTCAGCATGTGAGACACTGTCCTGGACAGATGGAGGGCTGAGCAGACCGTACTTCAAGGACCATATGGATAAGCCAGTGGATGAAGCATGGACGTTTTTGCAGGATCTTTTTAAATTCTTAACATGAAAATAGATGTGTTGCAATTAGATCCAAGTTACAGAGCTCAGCAAGATATCCTGATTTTAAAAATAAGTTGCATACAGTTTTTTCTGTGCAATACACAGATACAACATTTTAATATGCATATTTATGTCATGATATTTCATCCCAGCATCAGAATCAGAATCAGAAAGGGGTTTATTGCCAAATGTTGAGCAGGTTTACAACATTAGGAAATTGCTGCGGTGCTTCAGTGCAAACATACTGTCATAAATAGCACTTAAATAGACATGAAAAAATAAAAGTAGAGATAAGAATTAAAAGTGCTACGTAGAAAGATATGTGCATGAGCTATACATGAGATATATACATGAGAATAAGAATTAAGAGTGCTACGTAGAAAGATATATACATGAGTGCAGGTGGTGATCAGTGCCAAACATGGAATGATGCAGTGACACAGCGTAGGGTCATGTGTTAGTGGCGGGTACAGTCATATGGTTATTGTTCATGTGTCCAACAGCAGAGGGGAAGAAACTGTTCTTATGGCGAGAGGTTCTGGTGCGAATGGACCGGAGCCTCCTGCCTGAGGGGAGCAGGTCAAACAGACTGTGTCCAGGGTGAGAAGGGTCAGCTGAGATCCGAGCTGCACGCCGCAATGTCCTGGAGGTGTACAGGTCCTGCAGAGATGGGAGTCTGCAGCCAATCACCTTCTCAGCAGAGCGCACAACACGCTGCAGTCTCTGTTTGTCCCTGATAGTGGCTCCAGCGTACCACACGGTGATGGAGGAGGTGAGGATGGATTCGATGATTGCAGTGTAGAACTGCATCATCGTCCGTGTTGGCAGGTTGAATTTCTTCAGCTGCCTCAGGAAGTACATCCTCTGCTGGGCTTTCTTGATGACGGAGGTGATGGTGGGCTCCCACTTCAGGTCCTGGGTGATGGTGGTACTCAGGAAGCGGAATGAGTCCACAGAGGTGATGGGGGTGTCAGTCAGGATGATGGGGGGGAGTGGGGCTGTGTGCTTCCTGAAGTCCACAATAATCTCCACTGTCTTCTGGGCATTCAGCACCAGCATTCAGCACCAGCATATTCTCCTTATAAGAAAAAAAATGTGGTGACACGATGTTTTGCACTTTACTTAAAAGGGAAAATTTGTGCAGAACAAAGTTTGTATTGAAAAGTCAGTAAGTACTTTTTCTTTAAAGGATTACCCAAGAAAAGTAATACAGGACCTCAAACTGTGGAAATGGCTTTTAGCTCTTTTGTGAATATAACAAGTGCACAGGTAAGACTTTCACTATTTACACACTTTTTACTTTACTGTCAGGGTCTCATATGTGAATAATTAAGCAAACAACACATCCTGAATGAAAAAGGGGAAAAAAAGTCAAGCTTTTGCCGAAAGGATGAAAGAGGCCGAGAATGTGAAGAAGCCAGATTAAGTTGGAGAAAAGTGTGGGTGTGAGAGACATGCAGAGAGAGGGAGAGTGGAGAGGGGGAGACAGGGGGTGGGGTGGGTGCTCATCAGAGTTAATGATGTAGAAAATCCCCCAATTAGAGCGTTTTCCTGTGTTGCAGGATGAGTTCAGAGTGGGGTCCTCTGACAGACCAGGGATTAGTACCCGGGCCGGGCGAGGCCGAGCCGGGCCTGAGCGGATACTAACTAACTGCTGGACTGCTGGCACTGCTCAGCTGGGGCCGGGTCGGGGCTACAGTCACAGCCGGGGGCTGGGGTAGGCATGCGTTGAGCCACAGTGAGTGGCACAAAGGAAAGCATGGGAAAAGGAGCAGCAGATCGGCAGGAAAAAGGTTCTGGCAGAGGGTCGTTTTCCTGTCCCAATGCTACTAACATTTACTCAACCACTACTTCTGGTCTTATTTGATAAAAATATTAACTTTTTAAAAATACATCACAGTATTACATACAAGAATGTGCTCACCCAAAACATTATCCAATATAATCTGGACATGTGATTAATCAGTCTTGTCCACATATTGCTTGATGTCAGACAATAAATCACCAAATGTGGCGTTGCATTAAGAAGCAGGAACACAACCTTTAATTCTCCCTGATACCTGGAACAATAAATCCTTCTGGATCATTACACAACAAGGAAGCTGATTAAACATAAACAATGACATCTGTTGTCATAGTTACCTAAATGCAAGAGATGTAAAATGCACACTCACACAAACCCATCAGGGACAACTGCACTTTACCCAAGGATGCTTTGGCATGCGGACTGGAGGAGTCAAGGATGCTCCACCCACCCCTAAACTTACAGCACCTGGTATTCCAAGGAGGTGGTAATGGGGGGGTGTGTCGCACTGAGACCCCAAAGAGGGGGCAGCTGTTAATATCAGCTACCAAAAAGATTTAAGAGATGTTTGAAGAAGTCTTGAGGCACGAGTGGTGCAAAAAAAGGTGGCATTTATTAATAATAAAATAAATAAATATGAAGTCTCTGCTTTGTGCTAACAAAGGCTTTACCATATGTATAACCTGCACCTCTACATACTGAAAGAATGTGAAATAAAGCCTCCTACTGTCCTCTTCTGTGTCCCAGTTGACGTCTCGGGACCTAATCATGGAAACTCTGCATTACCACTGATTACCAGCCAATTACCAGGAACCAGAGATGGGCAGTAACGCATTATCCGATTACTTTTTTCAAGTAACGAGTAAAGTAAGGGATTACTATTGCAAAAACGGTAATTAGATTACCGTTACTTTCCCGTAGGAACGCTGCGTTACTAAAACCGTGATTTCTTTGCAAGAACGTCTCATGACAGTGACGTAAGCGAGTGCGACGTTCGTGACAACAGCTGTGTGCAGATCAACAGTGGATCACATCTCGAGTGCAGAGAGAGTATGAGCGTGCAGCGTTTAAAGCGTGGAAGTACTGACCTTACTTTGAGTTTGATTCCATAAAGAGTGACAAAAACATTAGTGTCCGCTGTGCGTGGGAAGAAAACTTCTTTTTACAGAGAAAAAACCCCTAAACTTCCAACAAGCACCGAGTAGCTACGACGTAATGGGAAACTCACAGAGAAACTCGCGGATTCTTCCACTGACCGCGGCACACCTGCACCAGGGTAAACCTCCGCCTACCCCACTCCTGCTTTACAGGTGAAAATAGAGCAACAGGACCGCTGAGTCTTTGACTTTATTTATTTTCTGCTGTGTTTTACTTGCATCTATTTGAAAGACTGAGTGTAAACACAAAAAATATTTTATTTTATGTGCTGGAATGTGCAGAAAATAGGTTTAAATGTTAAACTAATTTCTTCCAGTCAGAGAATGTTGCATATAATTAAATTTTTGCTTGATGCATAAAGTTAAAAGATTAAAACTAATAAAACAAGTTTTAAAAAGAGACTTTTCCATCTGATTACATTTTGTATGATGGATTATGCAGAAAAAGTAGAATTGGGCTGAAAGATCTATCGCTTTATCACCTACTCAGGTTGTAAATCGTGTTTTTAAAAAGTAACTAAGTAATTAATTACTTTTGAAAATAAGTAATCAGTAAAGTAATGGGATTACTTTTTTGGGGAAGTAGTTACTGATTTCTTTTTTCAAGTAACTTGACCAACACTGCCAGGAACACAGGTGACACATTAGGAAGTCAATTAAATGACTGAAGCCAACGTGATCAGTAGTGTAACAAAATTCATAAAGTTCTTTCAGTTGTGTTTTCTTGTGCAGTACAGCGGTGAAAGTCAAAGAATTCAACTTGTAGACACATTTCCAAACAGAAAGACGAGGAACTTTGAGGCATCTCTAACGCCCCTCTTCTACACAGCAACTGTGTTCATTAGGAACAACTGAATCCCTAATGACTAATTGATTAATTGTGCAGTCTATTATTTTGCTCCTGCACCCGAGTAGATCTGAAAGCGCCACGGTTGGAGTTAACAGTCTTATTGGAAAGACGCGTTTCTTGCAAAGGATAATAAGGGAAAAAAGCGGAATTAATTGGGTTTGATTAAGGGAGCTTTTCAATGGGACACAGCTTTTTCGCATGACATAATTAGAGGTCAGCTAACGGGGGGAGGGAGGAAAAGGGGTGGGGGATTTAGTTGTTGGCGCCAGTGCTGTGTGGGTGTGTCTGAGGGGGACAAATAGATAGAGAGAGAGTGTGAGTGAGTGAGTGAGTGAGTGAGTGTGTGTGTGTGTGTGTGTGTGTGTGTGTGTGTGGGGTGATGCGATGCTTCGTTCACACTTGCAGGACTACGTTGTGTGTCTGATGTGGTAAATTTCTTTAGGCCCACTCACCAGAAAACACACAGTGAAGTTCACGGGGGGGAAGCCCTCTCTGCGCTCAGTGTGTGATTATCATCACTACAATTGGCAGCATTAAAGGCCCAGTGCTCAGGCTTTTGTTGCTGCTGCATGGTCATTAGCTGTGCATTTCAAAGGCCACTTTACTATATGGAGGGAGGCGATGGC